TAATAAAAAAGACATAAAATTCATATCCTCCCCTTCTCTACCCCCCACACCACTACATTTTTCAAACCCTTTTCAGAACTACCAAAATAATAACGCCATACTGGTGTGAGAGAGATATTAAAAAAATATTGTGGCAACTGACTGATTATTCTTCATTGAGGATCTAATTACAGGGAATTAGATTTAACTTAATCAGAGATTAATGCTGAGCTCCTGAGAGTAAATTGTTTGAATGAATTAGTGTAGCATGAACTACAGAATCTTTTTCAGAGCTTTGAAAAAAATAGAACATCTGTTGACCTGCTTGAGCTCATTTGGCATTGGCCTAACTAGGCACGGGCTGCATGTTCTGGTGTCCCAAGCAGCAATGTGTGGAGGAGCAGCAGTGTTGGAGATCGTCTCTAGGAGGATGAAGCACCTAGGAGAGGTGGGACAGGTGAGCTGAAGGAGCAGGAACCCCTGGTGACAGCAGTTATACACGCGTGGGTTGGGCAAGCTAGAGAGAGGTTTTTAAATAACCCAGCAGGGAGAAAAGAAAATAAATTTTGCAGTGACGAAAAAGAATAGTAAACATGATCACTCTCTCTTGGAAATTATCTGAAAATAGTTGGCACGATCTGAAAAGCACAAGCAAATACACATGACTGTTTATGCAAATTCATCTACGGTATTTACAGTTCCAAACAAATATAAATGCCCTTTGAAAGAATTCCTGTGAAATCTGAGATTCTGCCTTTCCTACGGCTACCTCCACTTTCCACTTCTGCTTAACTTAACTCTGGGGCAGGGGCTTTTCAACCCCTTCCTGTTGCACTGATGTGGACTGGCTCTCACTGCCAGTTTTGCACGTTGGGATGATCTTCTATGTGCAAGGACCACTGGGAAAAGGCCTGGCTTGCACAGACCTGCTGAGACCATGGTTGTTCGTGGGGGGCCTTCGTATTTGAGCCCATGGGGAGGTGAATGAACCCTCCTTGCCCTGCCCTCACTTTACTTTCCCTAATACAGGAGCCCCCTGCCACCTTAATTTAACATGACAACTCTTGAGAAAGATGTTTCTCGACCTCCTTTTAAATGCCGCATCTCAACAGCACACAATATGCCCAGTGTTATTCAGATGGTAAGAAGATACATTGACATTTGTGGGGGGAGGGGGATTCCTTACCCGCCCTATTTCCTTGAGAACCAAATTCTGAAGCTCTTGCCAGCCTTCCAAATACCCAATGGAATCCCTGTTCGTGTGCATATTTTGGGCGCATCAGTATGTTTGTCATTTTCTCCCTGGAAACAGTTTCTCACACCCACGATGCAAGTGTGTGATCCGTGATTATATCTCCTGCTAGTTTTCAGTGTCCTCTTTGCTTGGAGTGAGGACTGAGAATATGATTCAGCTTAGGGAAGAGATAGAATGTGGCTGTTAGTTATCTTTCAGAAACCTCTTTCTCTGTGTGAGGTTGGGAGGTTGCTGCACTAGATATATACCCCATCTCCCTTTCCCTGAAACAGTGAGATCTCAGGATGATGGCCTCAGAAGGGCTTAGAAGACACTGCCTTAAATTTTTTTTAAAGATTTATTTATGCATACAGAACTGGGGTACAAGCCAGAGGTACAGGGGGTGAGAGGATTCACCATAGACAGAGTGGGGAGCAGAACAGGTAGATTGATGAAGTACACTGCTGAGGGGAGCAATGGGCGGGTCAGGACAGGTCTGCCATGTCATATGGGTCACCTCCTGGGCCTGGGAGGGGATCGAACTCATGCTGACGTGGTTTTAGCTTCTTAGTGCTGTGCTTTAACCCATTGCGTGACCAGGAAGGGCCCACTGCCTTAATTTTTAAGCCCTCTGGTAGCATATCTTACTGAACTTCAGAGGGAAGCCTCGAGGCTGTATTTGAAGGTTTTGTTTTGTTTTTTAAGATTTATTTTATTTATGCATACAGGAACTGGGTACAGACCAGAGGTGTGGAGGGGATGAGAGGATTCACGAGAAACAGAGGAACAGAACACGCAGAAAGATGTACTGAAATACACTGCTGAGGGAAGCAAAAGCAGTGTGTGAAACAGGAGGGGTCTGCTGTGCCATGTGGGTCATCCCCTGGCCTGGGATTGAACTTGTGCTGCAGTGGTTTCAGGTAGCTTCAGAGTGCTGTGCTTTAACCCCTTGTGCCATCAGGGAGACCCTGTTTTTGAAGTTTTCCAGTAAAAGTCACATGAACAAAAGAACATGTGGTTCTTTTCTACATGTTTACAGTCTTTTCTTATAAGAACTTTTTGCATTTGGGCATTTGATATTTGCCTTCAGCAAGTAAATAAGGGAAGCTCTTCTTTTGTCTTCCTCAGGGAGAGAGAGACTGGACTGTCCTGGCTTCATGAGCTTTGGTCCTTGGCGCCTGTTTTGGGGGTTCCTTTTAGTATCACTATATTCTCAGACTTGGCAGATCACAAGTACTTTTTGACATTTAAGAATTAGTTCCTTTAAATAAATAATTGAAAACCTAGAGGGTATTTTGCACATTAACGCCATGAACAACATTTTCATTTCCCGAGGATGTTTCTCCAGGAATAGCATTGCTAACATGGAAAGGAAGTCTGAGAGTCTTCTTTTGGGAAGTTAATGGCCCATCTTTAAGCTTCTCCACTTCTGGCTAAAATCTGATTTAATAATACAGTACTGCTCTTCAAAGAGGGGGAAAATAATTGTATGGGAGAATGTGGGTTGTTAAATAGCAGTTTTTTCATTCTAATTATATTGCACTTGCTTTTTACTGTCAGTGTAAGAGTTTTGTTGTACTTAAGTCTTTTGTTTTCATTAGTATCTATTTCAGATTCTTTTTAAAAGTAGGTCATGTTATAAACACTAAACAGGATTTAGAGTAGGACTATCTATCACTTATTCAAAAGGTCGTGAGAATGAAATTGTTCCTTTATTTTTTATTTTTGATCATTTGGTATTGCTTCTAGCAAGGACCTGGCATATCGGACTGACATTATACCTACAATTTTATGTCTGTGGTAATGGAGAAGCATTTGTACTTTAAAGTAAGATTTCATCAAAATACATAAGTGAAAATTCCTATAATAATGCAGTAATGTTTTTTTTCTCATAGAAATATGGGTAAACCTAGACAACTAGAAATTTTTCCAGAAGTTACTGTATACATGATACCTAAATGATTGGTATGCCTGTTCTAAGGAGGACTTAATGAGTGTTCTATGGATTCATATAGCAAGTTGAAATAAATTAGAAAGGTGAAGAAAAGAAAGCATGACAGGTCTGCGTGCCACAGAACAGTCATGTAGTCTTGCTAGAGATGAGCCAAAATTTTAACCTTCTAGCAGCTAACACTCTTTGATAAACAAGAAGTATCCGCGATGATAATACTAGAAAGAGTTCTATTACCTACAGGATATTATGGAGAAAGCACTTTGAAATAATCTTACCTCTTGCTTGGTACAATTAACCATCAGGTGATAAAAACAAGTAATCATGAAGTTCAGATATTTACGTGAATCATTAAGGAATTTTTCAGTCCATTAAAAAAAGCAGTTCACCATTTTCTCTTCCTGTTAGCCACAGAAGAGCCTTTGTGGGATGGGAGAAATTTGATTTGTTGTGACAGCATCAAAAGAAATATCTTTTTTATATTAAGAAGGATATATACCAGATCTTTGTTTCTTTATCTGGTATCCCTGGGTGTGCTGCCAACCTTTGAGTTGCTTTTTTGCCATTTAGATCAAAGGATTCCCTCTCGGGGAATCTAGCGTCAGGGTTTGGATTCCCATGATTCCCCCAAGTTCCAGCCGGCCGCTTCTCTTGTTCTAGGGCACCTTCCTGAAGTGCACATTCCAGACAAAAGTGAGTGGAGATCATGAAAATAACCTGGATATGGGAGGCAGTTAAACAATTTCAGAAATAACAGCTGGCTACAGAAAGTTTTGTGTTTTGCCTGGGGGTGTTCGTCCTCACCAGCACCGCCCTGCAGGGGGCGCCACCTGTAACAGTCTCTGGCTTCAGCCCCTGGTTACATATGTAGCCTCATGTTTTACACCAACATCTTATTAATTCGTTGTAGGGGTACATTCACAGGATGCACACATGCTACACTCACCCTCTTCAGGACTCTTGTGTCCATGACTTAGTCTTTTCCTTCCCCTCCCCCTCTATGGGTTAAAGCTCAGCACTATGAAGCTATTGCAGCCACTGCAGCATGAGTTCAATCCCCAGCCAGGGAGGTGACCTACATGGCGCAGCAGACCCCTCCTGACCTGCCTGTTGCTCCCCTCAGCAGTGTATTTCAGTAGATCTATCCGTTCTGCTCCCTGCTCTGTCTCTGGTGGATCCCCTCAGCCCCCACACCTCTGACCTGTACCCTAGTTGTGTATGCATAAATAAATAAATCTTAAACAAGAAGAAGAATGTAGTCGGTGGTGTAAAATTATGGCTAATTTCACTGAAAAGGCATGGAAAAGTATATTAAAACCAACATTCATTTGTCACTAGTAAAAGCCTTCCACATATTGAAACTAATTGACCAGAAGACTACACCACAGGTCTCTTACTAAAGTCAAACAGCGGCCTTCACTGCCTTTTTTTGTGAATAAAGATCTTTTTTGTGAATAAAATGCTGGTCTAGGTAGGGTTTGTTTGAGAATGTCGACCCATAAGTCATTGTTAAACTAATCCAAACCACCTGACCTACAGACACTAAAGGATGAGTGAGAAAAATGTTAAGCAACTGAGAGTGGGGGAAATATTAGCATGAGAGACTGCTACACCTTTGACACTTTGCATAGTATAAATTGTATGAATCTATGCAAGTTTGCACCAGTAACTTTAATTCCTCAAACTTGCGATGGCTTCAAAGCTCAAAGTACAGTACCTACAAACAGAGTGAGGTCTTCATTTTGGGTTTGAAACAAGTTCCCAGGTTGAACAGTCTCCAGTGCCTACCTCACCTCGGCGGCTGACCTCTCTTTCCTGTGCCCCACTGTCTTGCAGGCCAGACGATGTGCTCCTGCATCGCACGCATGATGAGATTGTCCTCCTGCACTGCTTCCTCTGGCCCCTGGTGACCTTTGTGGTGGGTGTTCTCATTGTGGTCCTGACCATCTGTGCCAAGAGCCTGGCAGTCAAAGCAGAAGCCATGAAGAAGCGCAAGTTTTCTTGAAGGAGAGACTTGCGGAAAGCAAAGCACAGAAGCTGGACCGCCCGGCACACATCTACCTGCAGAGCCGCTTCTAGGCGCAGGAGAGGGAAGGGGCTCTGACAGCTGACTGAGAGGCTTTCTCTCAGTGGCAGCAGAAACAGGCACAGCTGGAAGACTGGGAATCTCATAGACTGTGTTCTTTGTGTCCTAGCTGTGGCGAAAGGATCAAGCTCTTAGCTGAATGGAGTAACTGTTTCAGAACATCCTATAAGAAGTTAATTTTCTTTGAAAAGTAACAGTATATACTTGTACAGTGTAGTATACAAACATTATGACTTATGCTACTTAAAATATTAAAATAGAGTGGTCTGTGTTCTTTTCTATTTCTTTTTTTATGCTTAGAACACCAGGGTTTGAAAAGGGGGTCTTCTGGGCTTTATTTGATCCTGCTAGAATAAGCTTTTACTTGGAGACAAGGATTCCTATACAAGTCTTGACCTTACTACAGAATCTCCAGTTTCCATTATCAAAAGTACTTTCTGCCTCCTGCTGAAAAGTGAAGACTCCACCATTAACTCAGACGCCAGTCTCTTCTCTTCTGGTGACTCCGCCAGGGGACCCTAAGAGATTGGGAAGTCATGTCCTCTGACACCTGCCTAGCCTTTATTTTGTGCCAGATTACTTCTTAAGAGAGGGAGATGATTCTGAACAAGGTGTGTCCTAGTTCTAGAGAGTGTTGTGCTGCTCCATGCATCTGTTTCATGTGATTCCGAGTGGATTTCTCTTGGTGCAATAGAATGTACGTGATGTGAAGGACACTTCTCAGCTGAGCGAAGTGCTGTTTTCCTTTCTTTTTTAGGTCAGAAAAGAATATTCAAAGTTCAGACGTTTTGTTTCTCTTCCCTTGTTGCCTTGGTGTCTCAGCAGAATGTTGCTGCCGCCATTACGTTTGTTGGGACAACCAAGGACACAACCCAGCTCACGTCCCCACTGCAGCTCAGCGCTCTGTGCCTTTACCCCAACTTCACTGAGAACTACTTCCTTGCCTCTGTTCAGAAACTGAAGTTCCAAATATCACTCAGAGATATCGATCGACATCAAACCCATCCTACTTATTTGCCACAGAGCATCAAACTTTTGTTTAGATGAGATGTACATTTTTAGTGGAGAAACAGCTGGTGACATACTATCAGCTTGCTTCTAACACCCTTTAGACATGCTTTGAGTAGAATCAAGACATAGGAATTTAAGGACAAGCTCCTCTCAGGGTTCTAAGAAAGGTACACGTTAGTGAAATACAGATTTCCTGACTGGAAAGCACATACTGCTGTTTTGTTAGGTGGTTGAGACAGTCAGCATCTTTTGTGGAAGGACATTGGATGAGTATGATCCTTTTTTTCTAAGTCGAGCGTTACAGGTTTTCCTGTGAAAATGGCCTTGAACACGCTGACATCCTGTGAGGCAGCCACCGTGCCTTGACCGCAGTCTTGGTGTTCTGTTATCAGCATCCGCTGCTTCTGTTGTCTTAGCAACACCATGAGCCATTCTGAGGCACCCAGAGTGATAAAAAACTGGGAATCAGGACAGTCATCATCTTTGCATCACATGGCGAGAAATGAAGTTTCCTTTATCCATTTTATTCTAATCTTCTCAGTAAATGATGACAGAGAATAGATTAAAAAATAGTACATTGGGCATATGGTATGTGTTGGAAGAAAAGAAAATTGACATATATTGATCTGAGTTTTCATTATCAGTTTGCTGCTCATACATTTATATTAACCAAATGCCTGTATTTAGGCCTGTCGAGAATACGTGACTGTATTTGTAGGTTGACTTTGGAAGAGAAAGCACAATGAATTGATGAGATCATAAATAGTTTTGGGTCATTCTCACTAACAGCCAGTTAACTTGAAGTTCTTTCTTTATATTTGTTAAAGATAAAACTAGAAGAAATGAAAGGACATTTTTAGAATCATAAAGGTAAGCTTAATAATTTTGGTATTTTAATTATTTTCCTTTTTTGTAATAATTGAGGGAATGGTCTGAAGTGCTATATCATAGACCTCATAGTAGCAGAGACCTTATGAAGAAGTTCGTTCCCTCCTAATATAGGAAGCCAGAGGTGGCTAAGTCCCAGGCAGAGAGCCCAGTGCTACCTAACCAGGTAATCGGGGGACTTGGGACTTGGCTGGCTTGTTTGTTTCATCGCCAAGGATCTTATCATTCCTTGGTTAAAGCTTGCTCCAAAAAGCACATTCACTTTGCAGCCTGTGAAAAGAGACAAAGTTGGGAGCAAACACTTTCTTCTTCAGGAAATTTCATCCATTTCTCTCCTGGTTCCTTCTTGAGTGCTGACTATGGTTATACCTAACTCCAAAGAAGACTGGGCCATGTTTTCTCCAGTGAGATGGACAGATGGAGAGGAAAAAGGAAGGGAATGAACGTGTTAGCAAAAAGTGAGAATGATGACCAGGCAGCCATGGCCTGGGCTGTGATGAAAATCAACAGAGTGGGGATGGCCGAGACTCCATGCCCAGGTGGAAATGAGGTCCTGAGTCTGCTTTCTGGGAGAAACGCCCTGCCCCTTGTCCCCGGTGGTCCCAAGTTTGACTCCTAATAAACAGTTGTTCATCAGACTCCATAGCCACGTTCGAAAGTTTGGGGGGCCAACTCACTTTTGCCATCCTCTGCTTGCTGGAGCAGGTTTGTAGACCTTGCCTGCCTTATAGATTGAGCAAACATAGGCTTTTGTAGGCCAAGATTATAGTTTCTGTGTCTGTGGCAGAGTCCAGCTTCGTTTCTGATGTTTGCTAAGAGCTTTTGAGGACCCCCTGCCAGCCCACAATCCCTTAGTGCTCCCAAATCTGGGCAAGCTGATCAGAAAGCCTGGTGCTGCCACCTTTGGCCCAGGGAGGAGGCTCAAACCATGCAAGCCCTGCTCTGTGTACAAGGAACCCTCCCCTTCACCCCCCAACCTTGGAACAAGACAAGCCCAGCCAGTCAAGTCACTTGGATCTGCTGGTAACTGACTTGCTCTCCCCCAAAGTTCTCATTATGTGAAAAATAAAACATTTTCATACCCTTTTGATGTGTTTGTGGTTATTACCATTTGAACCAAATGTAGGATTGGGGGGTCTCTCTGCAGGATGCCCACAACGTGGGTTCTACAATTTCACCCAAAATAGCACACAACACAGATGGGAAACCATTTAGCTGACTCAGATAACTTGTCCTGAAAAATGACTGAAATCTATCAAAACATGGAGCAGTCTTTTTTAGCATCGCAGTATTTCTGCACAAGCACCCCAGCCAGAGGCACTGAATTCCTCATAGGGCCTGATGTCTGTGGTCATGTCACATGCTTTGAACATGAATTCTTACCATGTTTACATATCTCTTGTTATCCGTCTGATGTGAGCTTAAATACTCACTTTTCCTAGAAGTCTTCCCTAACCAGCCTATGTTAGAAGATTTTTCCAATCATCCTTTTCACCTGCATTCTGCATTCTTCCTTTGGAGTATTTATTGCTATTTGCCTTTGTTTCCTTGTCTATTATTTATTGCACCCCTTAAATGGTAAGCTCCAGGCAAACAGAACAATGCTAGTAAAATTTTTTTTTCTACCCTGGCATATTAAGATGCTGAATAAAATTCTATTGAGTGGACAAGTGAGAAAAGACTCTTCAGATCCATTCGGTTCATTGTATGTATTGTTTTCCATATTCTTTTCTGTCTTGGGAAATTTGTTCTTGCCTTCAAGGTCCAAGTAACCTCTTCACTCCTAACGGTATAATCACTTCCTCCTCTGCAATTTATACATAACTCTTTTATGTTAAGACTTTGCTTGTATTATAAGATCTTGCCTTGTGTGATGTGGTTGTTCATCCACCGATTGTTCCTTATTTCCCCACCCGGCAAGACAAAAAACGTATTTTATCGATCTTCCTACCCATAATGACAATAATAGTATATCAATGACCCCTAACTAACTCATAAAATGTTTTCTGTGTGCATCTAAGTTCTTTGTGAAATATCATCCTAAATTCTTCATCAGATTGGGCAGGGCTTAACATAGTGCCTGGGACATAGTTAACCCTATCAAAATGTCAATGAACAAATAGACAAATACATATTATAACTTTAGTCTTAAAATGAGCAGCTATAATAAAAATAAACAATATTTTTGTATTTGAATGCCATACACTACTCTTTAAACAAACAGGTGAAAAGTCAGTATATTATCAAATTACCCCAAAATTAAGCAGCTTAAAACAGCAAGCACATTATCTCATAGTTTCTGAAAGTAGGAATCAGGAAGAGGCTTAGCTATAATTATAGGTTATACTTGGTGAAATCTTGTTACTTAATGCCTATGGGTTGGGGTTATAGCAGAATAAAGTAGAATGTGAGCAAAACCACGGTGGAGAACATGGAGAACGATTGACAAGAATACAATTGCTCATTTGAAAAGCATCTCAGAACAAAAGGCGAGCAAAGTCTAATTGTCTGCAATTTTTGATTGGCATGAATCGGCTTCCAAAACAAGTCATTGGAGACTCTAGGAATGACTTTTCAAAAACTTTTGATAGTTTTCAAGGGAAAACTCTAAATATATATGACTCTACCTCTTTCTTCAGGTTCTGTGATAAACCTTAAGCCACACTTGGGGAATTTCACATGCAAAGACTGAAATTGGAACTAGCCCATTGCTAGGTGTGTGACAGTTTGGGGGAAAACTGAAAGAGCTTGGGAGTCTGAAGATTTAGACTATATTCTTACAGAGAAGCTACTAGAAGCAGAAAGGGAGGGTACAAGTCTGTAAACATGTTGATAGATATTGGAAGTAGAAAAGATTGAAGAAACAATTGTCTTAAAAATTGAATGAGGTGTTCTGAGAAAAACAAATACCCAAGTAGCAATTTGCTCTTAAATCCACAGGCAAAAATATTTCTAAACACTAAATGACAGCTGCGGGGCCTCAGTTATAAGCTTGCCCTCATCTCAATGGCAGCTGACGAGTAAACAGGTCACGAAGCCCACATGTGGGGAGCAGGAACAAGTTTTTATTACAAGGTAGGCAGGAGAGACAGGTAGCAACAACACCAGCGACCAGCAGTGGAGCCATGGAGTGGTCCCCGAAGGGGCCATGTTAGCTTTTATGTGATTTATAGGCAAAGCTTTTATGTGGTTTAAAGTAGAGGCATAGGCCTACTTTATAGGAGTATGTTTTGTGCATGTGAATTATGCAACAAGGTTATGTATTGGCTATTGCTTCCCACCATGCAGAATGCATCACAAGGCAACGTGTTATCCACTAGGCCATCTGTGTCTGAAGGTCATGGCAAAACATAGCCTGACACACTCTGAGAACACTGTTTTCTTATGGGTCTTACAACAACTGCTTTACAGCTT